TTCGATGGTGGCAGCCACAACATGGTAAGATACTGCACTCCAACTTTTCTGGTAGCTTCTAGGTCACACAGCATCCATATCTACCTCCTGTTGTGTGTGTCTTAATTTGCTGTCAATTTCCAGACAATTTGATTTTAAATCATGGTCATAATATATTCATATTGCTATGTAATGAACCTTCTTCAACCACCTTTGTTTGTCTGATTGCAGGGAAGCATTCAGCCCAGTGGGCTCTGGATGATGTCCTTATAGGAATGAATGACAGCTCTCAAACTGGATTCAAGACAAATTTGATGGCTCTATAGATTTGCAAGCCAACTGGTATCGAATACAAGGAGGTCAAGTTGATATTGACTGTCTCTCTATGGATACTGCTCTGATATTCACTGAAAATATAGGTATATATTATCACCAAACAAAAGGAAGATATTTGATTAACTACAGGAGTAAATTAACTAAACTCGAAAGGATATCCTCTAATACAAAACTGTGTACCTAACTGCCTTTGCTGAGGGAGACTCTTGGGGGAAAAAGTTATATGTCCTCTGAAATAACTTAGTGAACCAGTGACTTGTTTTTGTTGGAACTGTCTTTCACAGAACATGATGATGCAAGTAAGATTTCTTAGGTTCTTCAGGCAGAACCAAAAATGTCTGTATGAAGACATTCCTATGTTGCATAATTTGCAGCATTATAAACTTAAGACTATTCTAGCCCTTCTTAAGGTAGTGAAGCTTTTCAGATTAGCAGCCTTCCATATTTTGTGGTGTATAAAAACAGTAAATATGAAAAGAAAAGTCAGAGCACAGCAGGCACTACAGATAAGATACGATTTTTGCTTGAGATTGAAAATGTTAATTGCAAGCTTAAACATCAAATAAGAAAAGAACATTCTTCTATATACTACCATTCAACTTGTTGTTGTTTTTGGTAGGAAAACCTCGTTATGCTGAACCTGGGATTTTCATGTGTCAGCATCTACCTTCTTACAGTTTGAAATGAGCATGGGTTGCAGCAAGCCCTTCAGCGAGGCCCACAGTGTGCAGCTCCAGTATTCTCTGAATAATGGCAGGGACTGGCATCTTGTCACTGCAGAGTGTGTTCCTCCTACCATTGGCTGTCTGCACTACACAGAAAGTTCAATTTACACCTCAGAACGATTCCAGAATTGGAAGCGGATCACTGTCTACCTTCCACTCTCTACCAAGTGAGAACTGTCATTTGGGTACATCTCAGGATTTTAGGTTTTGTCACCTAATTTGAAAATAATTGTGATTCCACTTGGGGATTCTATTACTTTTCATGATAATTATCCATGGAATCACCAGGAAGAAAAGTACAACGTGTCTTGGGCTGCAGGTTTTAAATGTGGAGATAGTGTTCCAAAAGTTTTGCAAGGCTGAATTTTTCTGTTCTTGGGCAACATGAAGCCTACTCATCAGATTTAGTTCTTAAACTTGTAAAAATAAGCCTCTACCCACATACTCACTTTCAACAATGTGAAATAATCACATAGGAGAGTACTCATAATTCAGGTTTTTTTTTTTAATCACAATACAACAATATGAATAAAAGGTTGGGTCCTTTGTGGAACACTCATCTCATTTTACATCTCTCTTACCTTCCCCAGCACTTCAAATCACATTCAAAAATTATATTGACTTGGAGCAGGTTCCTACTTTTGAGGTTCAGCATTTGGATAATTTGAGGATCTCTAGTAACTAATGTATTCTCATTAGTGGGGACTGGTTAGACATTGTGCTAACCTGGGACCACCAATCCCCCATCCTTACCGCCTCCCTTCCTTTGCTCTGCTCTGAATTGCAGGGACATTGGCTTTGCATCCTCCCAGCCTCCTATACCCACTGGCTTCCTGATGAGCATAGATAGTGCAGACACTGGCAAAGATGGGAGTATAGAAATAAAGGGTAAATCAGGATATTCCTCTCCCCCCTCCTTTTCTGTCTCAGATACATCTTGGCCAACTCCTGTGGCTCCAGACCCACCCTAAATGGTCTCCATGTGATCCTGGCCTTTGGAGTCAAGCAACGGTGCTTCCTATCTATGTCCTTCCAGTTTGGGACTTGTAGTCCCTGACTTTGCTAAACTCTGATTTCATTGCTGGGATTTCAGCTCTGTCACTAACTGCACATCCAATTCCTTGTACTAAATTCTCTGTGTATTGGATGCTTGTAGTGGTTTCTATTTTCCTGGTTCAATTCTGACTCAGAGATGTACAACAAAATGGCAGAAAAAAATGCAGGAAATCAAAGCATGCTAGAATTTAGCATAAAATAGTTTCCTCTGGATCCCCCAGAGTTTTAAAAAGTGCTTGCTTGTAGCTCATTTATTCATTTTTAAATTCAGTATTTACTGAGTATCTATTGTGTTTTAAGTACTCTAATACTAAATGAATAAGCTGGGGCCAGGATCCAAATATATTATATTTAGGATGCCAGATATATAAGCAGCTTTATTATATAAAGTAATACTCACTACTGTAACACAGAAGGACACCACCTAAGCCAGCTTGGGGGTGTTAAAGAAGCTTCCTGGAGAAGCTGATGTCTCAGCTAAGTCTGAAGGAGTCAGGCTCATCCAGGTAAAGAGAGGTATGGGAGAACATCCATGCTGTTAGAAGCCAGAACAAAATCCAGAGGCCAGAAAAAAGCACAAGTTGATGAGAAAATTCAAAGATTCAGTGTTTTCAAAATGTAATCATGAGTCAAGAAATAGGGAAGAAAAGATAGATCTGGGGAAGAGGGAAGATGATGAAAGGGCCGTGTCTGACCTCTTTAGTGGTTTGGCCTTAACAGTGCAGGTGTTGGGGACTCATTGAAAGGGGTTAAACAGTTGTGGTGTGGTTAGAATTCCATTTTAAAGCCACCACACTTGCAGCTATGTCCCATTGAAAAACTTACATGGGGAAACAGTGATTCGCAAAATGGCACTACTAAGATTCAGCCTGAGCAGGACCATGTTCCACATTCCAAATACCTAATAATCTTCTGCCATGTAGTCTGTTCCTCAGAGCGGACTGTCATTGTTGTTTGGTAAAGCTGCCTTGATTCTAGATAAAGTGTCTTCTGACCCAGTGTGCCCCAAATAGCAGATTGCAAACACTGTGAAGTGATGCATCCATCATTCCCGTCCTCGGCTTTAGAGAGCCAGGATATGGAGAACCAAAGTAGAGGGCAGAAGTCTGGTAAGATTTCCATTTACTCTGAGAAACCATTTAGGGTCAGTGGAATGGGCACATCACTGTTAGAACTTTGTTAAGATTCCAGCTTTTTCCAGCCTTTGATCTCTTTTTCAATATTGAACAGCAGTAAAAGCCTGCAAGCAAAAACTAAAATTGTGCATATATTTCAAAAATACAAATCAGTAGTTCAAAATAACTTTTCCATCTCACACACATTGTCTCTTACTTGAGACATGCTTTTGGTTCTTCTTCTTTATGGGTCAAGAGGAAACAGCATTCACCATTAAGTATGAACATAAAATATCTCAAAGAAGAGGGAGGTAGACCCTGGAAGAAGGTGTTTTAAAGGGAAATGGGAAGTAAAATAAATGTCCTGTGTTTTTAAAATTGCTTGTCAACTCCATTGGTTAATGAAAGTGTTTTCTTTGGTTAGTTCTCCCAGGACCCGGTTCAGATGGATTCAAGCCAACTACACTGTGGGAGCTGATTCCTGGGCTATTGATAATGTTGTACTGGCTCAGGGTGCCCTTGGATGTGCTCAGGACGAGGGATTTGTGATGCTGGACGCTGTGTGTAAGTTAATAAAACTGGCAATTTCTTTCTTTGCAATGCAACAATTAAACTGCCTCATTGAACTCATGAGAAATGATGCCTTTTCTGCTCTCATTTTTTCCATAGATGTGACCGGGGGTTTGGTGGACCCTACTGTGTTCCTGTTACCCCTCTCCCTTCAATTCTGAAAGATGATTTCAATGGGAACTTACATCCTGACCTTTGGCCTGAAGTGTATGGTGCTGAGAGAGGCAATCTGAATGGTGAAACCATCAAATCTGGAACGTCTCTCATTTTTAAAGGGGTAAATAAATTCTACTTCTCTGCCTTACTGAAATCATTCCCTTCTTTATTCACTGTTCCACACAAATGTGTTTCTGAATCTCTTCAGATGATGTGTTATCTTATGCATAGCTACTATCTTTAGATCAAACCATGTTTCCTCTTCTATTCAGCGCATTGATTTTTGATGATCACTTGTGCATTACTTTTTTTCTCTAGTTTGGTGATCAGGTCTTCCTTACTTTCTGTTGGAAATTATATATGAAAATGTATATGTACCTAATTTTTAGAACCTAGGGTCCTAGAATATATCATTTTACATTACTAAATATTTAGCTTGCAATATTTTTTAATGATTTTTTTGAAGTTTTTCCTTTCTCTCTTTTTATTCTTCCTGCCAGTAAAACTACTTGGTAGTGACAAAGAAAACTAAACATTTAAGTCAAATTAAATAGCATTGTCAAACACTATAGTTTTTTCATTTTGCCGTAGTTGTCTGTTTAGATAAAAGTTAAGCAATAGAGTGAAACTGCTCAGCAGGCACATCTTCATATGTGCATACATGCTACATCATGTCCCTCTCAGCAGGGAGAAATTGACTCATCTAGGTGTGCGAGTGAAATCATTGACAAAAATCGGCATGGGTGTCTATACAGCCTTAATGACTAATATCTAATGCTCAGAAAATTAGACACCCTGAAACTTTCCAATTATAGTTAATAGATGCCAGTAATCATCCTTATTTGAATCCAAATTTCTTCTCAAGTTTTGGATAAGAAAAGAAAAAATGCTTTGGGGCCTAAGTGTTTTACAAGTCCCTAAGAATTTTAGGGACCAAAGCAATTGAGGTATTACAGTTCATAGTTGAAGCTCCTCTTTTTGGTTTTAGTTTTATCTAAGGCTCACGACCACTAGCTAACTTCTGATCCAGTTGAAGCAGATGACAAGACCAAAGGGCAGAGAAGCCTATAACTTCATGATTCAAAGATCTTTGCTTGATAAATTTTTAAGTCATACAATTAACCTGGTCCTTAGAGACTCTAAATTAGAAAGACACATAGTCTTTCATTTTCTCTTTAGCCATCCAAATGCAAGAGCAGTCAAGCATTATATTATTAGACATCATATCCATCAGCTTTGCAAGATGTAGAGGGCTCAGTGTGTGTCATTCCAGGGTGCAGTGTGACCCAAAAAAGCATTCTTTCGTGAAAAAGGAAGTAATAGTCTCTTTTTTTGATGTATAGAGAGTCAGGAGTACTATCAGCTATTAAAATAGCTTGTTGCTTGCAAAAGGATTCTTCACATTTGGCACAAATAGGTCACTGAACGTGGAAAAAGATATAAAAGAAATGTGCCTATGCAAAGCAGAATTTGTGTGGCAACAGGGGTTGATTGTTCCATCACATAAATATCAGTATCAAGTGCTAAACTATAAACAAATGTTGCAAACAGAAAAAGATACTTTGAGAATACAAATACGCCCACTTTCAACAAAATTGCTCCTACAAAAAGCAATGTAAAGTGAGTCCTTTTACAGGTGACTTCTGTTTGCCCATGGGAACAGTTTTATACTTATATTACATAATCAAGGGGGGAGAGTAATCATATTCCTTACCTTGATGGAAACAGGGTGTTTATTAGCTGAATCTCTCGACTGTCTATCTCAGAACTTTTCCCTTTCAAAGTAAAGAAGCCACCTTTCCTCTTAACCTCAACCTCCACGTGACACTGAGACGTAAATGAATCCACACCTTTATGTGTGGAAGGGAGAGAGAAAACATGCAGAATAGGCACTGACTAGGCATCCTGCACTAAGCAGTGCAGTAGATTACTAGACAGAAAAGAAAAACAAAGACTGGAGAGAGACATAAGGGTTTTTAATGGCAACCTTCAATCCTAAAAGTTGAAAGTAAGCTGCATGAAGTTAAGAAATGGGAGTAAATGTGGTTGGTTTCTGTTTTTTGTTTTTTTTTTTTTTTCGTTACAATACCAAGTAGTTCATAAATTCCAACTTTAACATTATCTGGTTTCTTCTTTCCATCCAAAAGAAAGATGAGTTGGTAGACAAAACACCAGTTATCTTATAAAGGATAGAGGATAAGTTTCAGAATCTGACATCATAGGTTCAAACCCTTACACACTATGTAATTTCAAGCAAGTTACTGTCTCTGACTTTCAGTTTCCTTATTTGCAACACAAGAATAATAATATCTTCCTCCTAAGAATGCTAGGTCCTTTTAATAAGTAAAGTGTCTATTTTGGAATGTAGGATGTTATAAAGCACTCAATATATGCTTGCTATTGTGAAAATACTTCAGCTGTTGAAGACTGTGCTCTATAATAAATATTAAGAAAAGGAAAAATAAAAGAGTAAAAATAGGAAAAAGTGTTGAAAACGGAAGATAAAAATGAAATTGCAAACAGAGTAAAATAAATATGTTAGAAGTAGAGGAAAAATGTTCAAAATAATTGATTTATCCTTAGAAATAACAGGGACTAAAAGATAATTGAGTCATATCTTTGAAATGCAGAATTTTTAATGTATCAACTTAGAATTGCATATCTATCAGAAAGATATTTCTAAAAAAATGGTGATATAAAGATATTTTAGATAAACAGAAAAAAAAAGAAAGGAAAAAATTGTTCTTTCTAACTAATATTTGGTATTTGTTAGTTGATAATTAAGAAATCATACTGGGCATGGTGGCTTATGCCTCTAGTCCCAGCTACCTGGGAGACATAGGCCCAATTAAACAGTGCAAGACCCTAGCTGAAAAATAACATAAGCAAAAAGGACTAAAGGCATTGTTCAAGTAGTAGAGCGCTTGCCTGTCAAATACAAGTCCTGAGTTTAAACCCCAGCACCACAAAATAAAAAAAGAAAGAAATCAGTTGACAGTGTCCACTCAGTATCACAACCACAGACACCACTGAAAAGTCACTTCAATTCAGCAGTTGCAGCTAAAAAACTAAAAAGCCTGTTTGTGCCTTAGAACATTTGCATAGTAAGAGCTGTCTTACTGGCTGTCACCACATCCCATGTACACATGAAGAAAACAAGCTTTCTAACTGTCAATCCCAGGCAACCAGAAATAGTTAATTAGCAGAAAAAATTACTAAAGCTAATATGATCTCTTTCCTTGTTCCTTGGTGTCTCTGCATGAATGGTGACAGCCCAGGCATGGGGACCTGCTTTAGTTATGCCTTATTTCACCTTACCAAGTGGGGGATGGTATGTCAGCCTGAATGGAAGCCTCCTGGGGCTGGCAGAGCCAGCAACAGAATAGTGAGTTCCTAAGACTCCTTGGAATCCTGAAAAAGTTACCTATTAGTCCCCAGCCTCCAGCAGGAGCACTTGGCTCATTTTCCACCTGCTTCCTCCTTGCTTCTTTCACAGCATGCTGTGATCCAAGAAGGCTATTTTTTAAAAAGGCCTGTAGGTTTATAATGCTATTATTTTTGCATTGCTTTTTATAAGTTACGGCAAAGTATGTTTTAGAAGTGAGACAATGGAATTGTATTACTCAGGCACAGGAAATGAAGACCACTAAGAGAGGAAGGACAAGGAGCATTCAATTTTTCCTTTAGAATTGGGCAAAATATTGCTTCTTGATCATTATAACTATTACTTAGCTAATGTGAGTTAGGAGTATAAAATTAGAGGAAAGTAATTTTGTAAATTACTTGAAACAAGGTTACTTGACACATATTTTGTTTGTTTGTTTTCAGGAAGGACTAAGAATGCTTATTTCAAGAGATCTAGATTGTTCCAATACTATGTATGTCCAGTTTTCACTTAGGTTTATAGCAAAAGGTAAGGTATTTCTATGAGTGTGCATGCATTGTTTTCCTTTAAGAAAACCTCCCATGCGCAATTCCTCCTCCACAAAGAAACAGCAGATTTAGGGACCTATAAATTTTTTTTACAGGAAAGAGCTAACATAAACTTGTATACATGAATGTTGCCAAATGTTCTTCTTTAATATATGTTCATCTTAATATAAGATTAAGATAACTACTGATTTTAAATGACCTCATACAGCTACAATAAACATACTAGTTCTGTGGTAGTTAAACTTATCATTTTTGTTTCTGAGTCTTCCAACCACCACTTTCTAGCAAAAAGAACTTTAAATTAAAAGATTTTAATTTATGAAAATATAGAATTTTCTTTTACAAATGTGAACCCCTAAAAAACCTACTCTGTCATTCTGACTTTTCACACTTAACTAAATGATTTTCTTTAAAAATAATGTCATTGTGGGTATGTTTTAATAATATTTCATTTATATTCCAAGGTCTAAATATTTGACTCTTTGTAAAACTATGATGCCAAAAAAAATTTTTCAGCAGTGTTTCCTAACTACAGAAAGACGTGTGCATATCTGAAAAAGGAGAGTATTATCATGTGCAGATCCAGGATTTGCTGTGGTTTTCACTGTATTCATGTAAAAAGTCCAGCCTGTCATCACTTTCAGTTGCCTCTGAAGCGTTTGGACCATAAAGTCTCTATGTAAACAAATTGTCTCGTGTCAATGGCAGAAGAATAGACGAAGAACACACTATTTCCTCACTTCTACCACAATATGACATGCCTCTGTTCTCTTCTTCTTAGGTACCCCAGAGAGGTCTCACTCTATCCTCCTCCAGTTCTCTGTCAATGGTGGAATCACGTGGCACCTGATGGATGAATTTTACTTCCCTCAAACGACCAATATACTTTTCATTAATGTTCCCTTGCCATTCAATGCCCAAACCAATGCGACAAGATTCAGGCTCTGGCAGCCTTACAATAATGGTAAAGATGCGTGTGTTCTCCTGTGATCAAACTGACAGTAGCATATAATACTTGTCTCTAAGGTGTGGAGAAATGGTCAAATAAGAGGCTTACCACCTATTGTACTTGCTTCACTTTTGCCCATTCTCAATGAATATTTAGCTTTATGTATCTTTATTGTCTCATCTTGCTTAACTAGTGAGTTTTCTCAATGATGTAAATATAGCTAAATACTGTCACAGAAGTAAGACTTTTTTTAAATCCAGCATTACCATTAGACACTATCAATTCTAGCTATAATTGCGTCGAATTAATTTGGGAAAGCATAGTTCTTCTGAGTGTGATACTTCATTAGCGAAATAGAACATTATAGCAAAATGCTATGGAAAAGTAAGAGGGACTTAGACCAAGCAGAGATAGTGCCTTAGAAAATATTCTTGTCACATACATTTGCTTCAGTAATGAGCTAAAATGAATGCTTAACATTTTTAAAAGGTTACAGAAAATGATTTTACAGATTTGTAATGTTTCATTGCTTCCTGTATTTCTGTTAACTGTTGATTATAAAAGACCATATTTTATGAAATCATGCATTTAATCACCTGAATAAGCACAGAGATACCACATTAAGCAGATTCGTTGCAGAGGTTACACAGAAAATGATATGAAAAATATAGTTCCAGCTCTAAAATTTAACCTGAGTATTTCCTTTATGAGTAATTAGTAAAAAAAAATTAGCTTATTGTGAGATAAATAAAATCATGATGGACTTTTGCCTAAATAGATTCTTATATATGAGATTATATAAGGTATATCATATATATCTTATAGTACATAATACATGCAAGTTTATGTATTGGATATATATATGATATTATACAGGATATAATATATCATGTATGTATATTGTATCTTATATAATTTAACTTATTGTGAGATAGATATTATATCTTATATAATCTCCAAATAAAAATCAAAAAAGAAATAAAGCCAGTTTTAAAATCCAGAAGATTGTTGCCTTCATGTTGTGACTGGAATGCTTCCATGATTATTTTCATTGTATTCACAATCACTTCCAAGAAAATAAAAGAAAGCTACTAGAATTAGAACAGGAATAGGATTAGAGAAATAGAGGCAGTTGGTTTCATTTAAAGCATGTTTATTTCTACAGGCTCCTGCATGTAGATCCTTTTTTTTCAATTGGATACGTTATATTTTTTTTAATTATTTCTTTTATTCATATGTGCATAGAATATTTGGGTCATTTCTGCCCCATCCTCCCTGCCCCCTCCCTTTTCCTCTGACCCCTCCCTCACCCCCCTACCCCCTTGCTTCCGAGCAGAAACTGTTTCAGAATTGTACTAAAAGTAGGAATCAGTGAAGAAGCAACCTAGAGAAATCTTGAGGTTGCTTTTTGGCATGGTTTTATCACCTTGCTTCCTGTTCAGTCCAGAGCACTTGACAAAAGCTGGTTTTGCTCTTCTCTTTTGCTCTGTAACCTCTTCAAACACTTGGCCTAAGTCATAGTCAAAGGCTGTAACAGTCTAAGGAGTGATCTCAGTAATATTCCTGTATTGCTACATTTCTTCCAATAAACATAGAAGGTTTTACATAAAGGAAAATGATGGAGGAGTTGAATTCATCTATGATATATTGTAAGAACTTTTGTAAATGTCACAATTTACCCCCAATACAACAGTAATAAGAAAAGAATCCTAAAAAAATAGGTTTGGAAAGCACTAAGAAAATAAATAAAATATTCTATATCACAGAGTAACTTTATTCTGTGTCAAACAAATACAACAATGAATTTAGTTTTGTATTAGGGCAGTGTTGTAGTGGCCAGGGTCTTTCTGCCTGACTGAAGCACAGTGCTGAAGTCATGGGTTGAATCTGAAAGCCCCAAGCTGCCTTAAAGACTAGTTAACATACCTCCATTCTGAGTCTACTGACTATCCATCCTTATAAACCAAACGTCTTACAGATTCCCCCAAACACTAAACACAAGTCAGCCCCACTCTCGCTGATGAAAGGTCCATAGCACCACTGTGACTGGAAGGACAGCACATACTCACAAGCTGTTTGTCCCAGCTTTCTGAAATTGGTGAGAAAGCTCTATGCTTTGTCAATTTATATACTTGCAAGTTTAATTTTTTCACACTTTGATTACTGTGAATATGCTGTTATGTAGTTTTGTCTAGAAGGCATATGTTGAATGTTTTGTTACTGTGTTCCTTCTGTCATTTACTTTCTTTCAATGAGCAAAAATGTTCATCTGATTTTTATTGTTGGAAAAACTTGCTCTATCCAAAATTGCCTTAGGTAAGAAAGAAGAAATCTGGATTGTTGATGACTTCATTATTGATGGAAATAACTTGAACAACCCTGTGATGCTCTTGGATACATTTGATTTTGGGCCCAGGGAAGACAACTGGTTTTTCTACCCGGGTGGTAATATTGGTCTTTATTGCCCATATTCTTCAAAGGGAGCACCGTAAGTATTTAATTGAGAAGCTAAAAATAAAACCACTGCTCTATATTCACTCATGATGAATTTTTGCCTAAATGGCTTCCTTATTGTTTTCTTGAATAACAGCGAGGAAGATTCAGCTATGGTGTTTGTTTCAAATGAAGTTGGTGAGCATTCCATCAGCACCCATGACCTAAGCGTGAATGAGAACACCATCATACAATTTGAGGTACTGGACACTGTTGTACTAGCAATATTTTAAGTTTTATCTTGAGCAAAAGCTAAAAAAGAAGGGAAATCTCAGGTAATTTCATATGTTTGTAACTTCCCATTTTTGTGCAAGGACATAAAAGGTGTTGGTATCATAATTCAATTTTATTACCAGAACCAATTGTCATATTAATGCTTATTGTGAACTTTTATACTTATGACATAGTTTCTATACCTACTGTAATGAATAAGTTATTTTAAGCATTATAAAAATAAAAAGAACCATATTTTGATATTGTTATTTTCACGGTTTTTAAGTGAAACTTAAAATTTCTTAGGATCTAGGTCAGTGTAAGATAGTCTATACCATACCAGCACATTTATGTAATTTTATCATACTGCCACAAATTTTACATAAAAGCAATACTACATGGTTTTTATAGTTTTAAATATACTTGCTCTATGTATTTTATTAATATCATGTAGTCCTTATATTTTTCAAGAAAGCAAATTAATAATTAACATAAAAACCTTTACATGTTTCAAAAACTTGAGCAAAATTAGCAGAACCAAAGGTACATTATGCATGCTTCATACCTGAAGTCTGTACCAACCAATCAGCAAACTTACCTAAAATCGCTCCCAATTGCAGCAACACAATTTTGAATATTTGTTTTTCATTATCTGCCTATATCTCCTAAAGCAGAGTATGTTTTGCAATCTCAAAAGTTAAAGATCCAATGACTTCTCGATAGAGAAATTATTCTGTATCTATTTTAAATTTTTGATTGTATTTTTTAATTTTATGCTTTAAATGCTAACAAAAAAGTTGAACCTTTGTCTTTTAAGAGTTCTATTATCAAAACAATTCAAATGGAATATATGCCTACAGTTACAAAGTTTGTCAGGTGCTAATAGTTTACATATTAGAAGGTAAAAGGGATAAGGTTGCATGTGTGTGAGCGCACACACGCACACACATACACACATGCACACACACACACACACACACACAATCAATGCCCAATTGCTATGATAGCAAGAAAATGTTACTCCCAATTGGAAGGAGGAAACTTTTCACAGAAATAAACGCATGCATTTAAGTTTCCACTTAGTGCGCTTGAAAGCATGAGGAAATGAATGAAGTGGTTATTTCTGTAAGGGTTAAAAAGGTCTTTATGTAAAAACAGTAGAAAGGTAGTTGTCAGGAGTGGTTGGGGGAGGAAATGAAAGATGTAGGTAAAAGGATATAAAGTTGCAGTTATGTAGGATGAATCAATGTAGACGTCTAATTACAGGGTGAGGATTATAGTTTAAAATATTGTATTTTATGCTAAAATTTTGCTAAAAGAGTTAATTTTAGGTGCTGTTAACATAACATGGTGACTATGCAAGCAGTGGATTGATTAATTTGCTTAACTGTGTATATTTTATCAAAACAGCATCTTATCCACCTTAAGTACCTACAGTTTTTTTTTAAGTCTCTCCTTGTGCCAGAGAAGTAAATAACAACAATTGTTTTCTGGGGTTTTTTGATACTGAATATATATTGAAGCTTCTTCATGTTCAAAACTTTTGGAGTTATCTGGAAGGTGTCATAGGAAGGGAAACAGAAGGTACTCTTACCTAGTAGACTGGGAAGAAGCTAACAGGATTAGGGAAACAGTATTTTCATTACAATTTGCTTGATTTGACTATTAGACAAAGGTACAATTTGGAATAATCCCAGTCTTTATCTTACCCACTTCCTGGTTTCTTTAAAATGAGGAAAAATAAATTTTTCATGAGGTCTTTTAAAGCTCTTTATGAAAATAAAATTGTACTTTAAGAGTAATATATGATCTAACTCAGGCAAAACAGAATCTTACAGTGTTAAATTTTCAATAAGGCAGTTCCCAGGAAAATGGACTCTAGAGTATAATGAAGTAGTGAATTATTTCAAGGCTTGTTGCTCTGGGATAGTCTGTATCATTTTTTCTTTTTTTTTTCAAGATCAATGTTGGATGCTCCACTGACAGCTCATCTGCTGATCCAGTCAGACTGGAATTTTCAAGGGACTTTGGAGCCACCTGGCACCTGCTGCTTCCCCTCTGCTACCACAGCAGCAGCCACGTGAGCTCCTTATGCTCCACTGAACACCACCCCAGCAGCACCTACTATGCAGGGACAACCCAGGGCTGGAGGAGGGAGGTCGTGCACTTCGGGAAGCTGCATCTTTGCGGGTGAGAGTCTGTTGCTTGGCACCACTTTTGTTTCTCCTTCTGACAGTTCCTCCATGCAGTCACCGCTGACTTGCCACTTTATCAGGAGGAAAGTTCCACTTCACATTTCTTTTTCAGTTCTCACTTGAAACATATCAATATATACTTAAACCATAGGACACAGAATTGATATAACTGCTTACTTATTGTTTGAAAGTAGATTTAAGAGTATGCTGTGGACTGCACAGCCTGGAATTCATTTTCCCATGGGTTTTTAACAGATCAAATAGGAAGCAATAGAAATATGGTTTTCCTCTTATTTTTGACCCTCCCCACAATAGACTCCAACCTCACAATATAAATGCACTTAGAATTTAATACATTCAATATCTACCTATGTCCTCTCATGCAGGGAGAGAGCATACAAGGAGGATGGAAGCTCAGAGCCAATTCCCCAGGTCTCATTAAAAAATTGTTAGTGCTTTTCCCCCAGGCATTTCTACTTTTTCAACCTCTCTCAGCATTATTGTAACATATATTTGACTTTTCTGTTGGAAAGTTATTTGGAGATAAAGGACTTCAACCCTAGTAGAAATGAAATGAAGAGTATGGTTTCAAAAAAGAAAACTAATAAGATCAGTGAACAAAGGGAGGATGTCAACAAAGCAGCCTGCCTCAGAATTTCTGTCTTTTCTTTCAGAATAAAGAATTCTTTCAGAGTATATAAAAAAAAAAGAAGGAAGTTCCAATATCATACTTTTAAGATAGAAGCAAACTTACATCCATGATATGAAAATGAGCATAATTAGAAGTCTTAGTTCGTCATGAAAAACTAACAATACTTAGCTCTTATCCAAAAGGGTGGAAGCTAATCTTCAAAAGTCTGCATTCTCTTTTTAACATAATCCATTACTCATCCTTGCACCAGAAAATTTTGATTTGATTACTAAGGGTTTAAATATTTACTTTCATTGAGTAAATTACTTATCAATCCTTGTTATTACATCAGGACATTACTCTAATAGAAAATCCAACTACATTTTTTTTAAAAGATAAGCATGCTAAGCAAAATGTCCTCAAGATGCTTTAGAAGAGATAGCCAGCCAGGCCCTCATGACTCACATCTATAATCCTAGCTACTTAGGAGGCTGGGATTGGGAGGATTATGGTTTGAGGCCACCCAAGGCAAATAGTTCCTGAGACTCCATCTCCAGAGTAACCAGAGGGAAAAAAATGGACTGGAGATGTGGCTCAAGTGGTAGAGCATCTGCTTTACAAGCATGAAGTACTAAGTTCAACTCAAAGTCCCACCCCCCCAAAAAAAAATCAATAACCAGAGGAAGTAAAGAGATGCTGGACTCTGGATATTATAGGAAAGATGGATCTGATACCTCACCTAACATGACCAGAAAGTTTTCTGTTGGTTTGGACAGTTTGTCCATAGAAGAAGCAAGTAGAAGAAGATAGCTCAGAAAAAACTTTTTATCCAAACTCAGTTGTATTGCTTAAGACTTATGTTGCAAGAAATGTGAAAAAATCTTACAACATAGTGGAACAATTTATTGGAAATTTATTGGACCTCTCAGGAAGTGAGAGGTCCTCGGGAACAGGAGTTTGTGATCCTCATTTTTATCATGAAGACATTAATATCACTCAGCAAGCCACAGCTCTCATTTCCTGGGGCTCTCAATTCTAAATTTCCTGAAAAGAAAATCTAAACCAGTCAGCTATGGGCAGAAATCTGCATGTTGTGCCAGAAGCATAGCTTCCCAAGCACCATGCCCATGGGCAGGGTAGGCAAGGGAATAAACCTGGATGTGAGACAGAGGCACTGCTATGGTCCAAATGTCCATAACTTCCCCCAAAAAAATTCATACGCTGAAATCCTAGGGGAGTTAGGGGTTTGGGGGATGTGATAGGTGATGAGCACAGAGCCCTCATAAATGGGATTGCTGGCCTTATAAACAAGACTCTAGGTAGATAATTGCCTTGCCTCTTCCACCATGTGAGGTCACAGCTAGGAGGTACCATATATGGACCTCAAAGCAGACCCTCACCGGACGCTGCTAGCTCCTTGATCTTGGGCTTCCTAGTCTCCAGAAGTATACAAAATGAGTTTCTGTTGTTTATAACCCACACGATTTATTTTGTTATAACAGCTCAAAGAGATTAACATAGACACCTGTGACTAGAATATTTATTCCCCCAGAATCCATCATGGTATTTCTGAAAAGCACCAGGTTTTCTCTTTATTGTACTCCCATTGCCTGATTAAGACTTATTAAATAGAAAACAACCCTGAAAATAGGGTTTGGGCCATGATTTTAGATTATCTTACCGACTGAGACTTGCTTCACAAATTCCACGTGGAAATAAACCTATCTAAAGGACATAAAGTAAGGTCACAGAGATATGCTAGCCAGAGGCACTGAGTGAAGCTGCATGCAGTGCTGCACCAGGATGGTGACACCTTGCTTAGTGATGGTGGCTCCCACTGTGGTGGGCTTACACATAATGCATGGCAATATAATTTGCAAATTTGAACAAGAGAAACACAGAGACCTCTATTCACCCTCCTCTTATGTAACAACACACTTACAAAACACAATCTCATAAAAGTGCACAGAATTTAGACTGTTGTTTTACTTGTACCCCATGTCATTTTTATTTCTATGAAGTGAGTTGAGGAGGCATGCCCACTCTCAGAATGGTGTAACTGCTTTTACCCATTTCTGTGAAGGGAAGGATTTGCCATAATAGCGTTGTCTAGTCCTTGTTTCAGGAAAAGAATTAGCCCCGTTCTTAAAACCCATGCAGGCATGAATTGCTGGAAGGCAAAAGTTAAATTTTCTCCAACTCAGTGAACCAGTCCTTGGGTTTGTATTCAACATGGTACATAATGGCACAAGTACAAGCTGCTAAAAAAAATGATAAAATCCATGCTTAAATTACCCTTTTTGGTGACTTAGTGAACACTGAATGAACACACAAACAAAAAGTCTATTAAATGTTTTCAGAAGCCATGTGGCCATTTGGTTTTGCTTCCAAATATTGTCAATTTGCTGTTAAAATGTAGTACTGGTTTTCCATCCAATTTTATTCGCATCACCTTTAATGTCCTTTGAGTCTAGAGTCTTTGTGTCTTTAAAACTTCCCAATTGTTTTTTGCATTGTGCAGTTTCATAATAAGTCCACTAAAAAAACCCTATTTAATGGAAACAGTGTTGTGTGCTTGAAATTTTAAGTTTATGTTTAAAAAACAGAGCTTTGAATACCACTGGCTTGGGAGAACAGGTGCTGACATTCGCCAAGGAGGGTGGTAGTGAGAAATTTTCTAAATAAGATTTTAGCAGAAGGGAGCCACAGTGAAACCAGACCCTTCAAACCATTTATCTTCGGGCTTGCAGTTTCTGTGTCAAGGCAGGTGAACAATAATAAATATCCAGCCAAGGTGGTTCATTTGTATTCAGAACATTTGAATAAATAAGGCGTTCAAAAAAATCCATGTAGACTTGTTCAAAGGAAGACACTAGCCATTTCCCTCAGCTCAGCAATCTGAAAGTTCAAAAGTTAAGAAGTACTTCTTGCCAAGACTAAACTCTGACATGTATTTGAAAATCAAGTTTAATTACGAACTGGTATTTTAGAAGGAGCTTGGTATAGTTGGCGTCTTGATACAAACAATGATATTAGGCTTAAAATTTTATGTGAGAACTTGACTCTACCTGCTTTATCATCTACTAAACTCTAGAAGCTTAGGAAGTTCATTTCCCTCTCACCACACATCCCAACCCTGGTATTTGACTTCTAATTTCTGATTCTCAAATAAAAAAACATCAGAATTTAGTTTCTATGGTAACTAGAAATTGGGCAAATTCAGAGAGCACAAAAATAAATGCACATGCCATCTCCATATTCTGCCCCTCTAAAATAAATCTGTCTTCTTTTAACTGAGTTTTCTACATGGTAAAATACATTAAACTATTTCTGGACTGCTACCTAAATATGTAAAGTATTTTCTAAGTAGCTGATTTGTCATCAGTAATGTGATAAAACAATTCATTTACTTATCTTTGATTTTTTTGTTCAGTTTATTTTTAAAAATTTTTTAATGGTGTTGGGGTTTGAACTCAAGGCCTCACTCTTGCTAGGCAGGTGCTCTACCACTTGAGCTACTCCACCAGCTACTTATCTTTGATTTTTAAACCTAAGAAATAATAGACAACAAACTAAAAATAAATCTGTTTTTTTTTTTTTTACTTTTTTCTGTTAAAAACTTGCCGACCATCTACAGTGTGTGAATAACTTCATAAAAAGGTACAAATAAAGGAGGCATGGACATTGACCTCTGTAAGCTCACTCCCAATAGAGGAAACAGACAGCCTTTTAAATAACTCCAGCTGTGATACCTGTAACAGTGACCATCCCATCAAAAATATGGAAGAGAAAATGAAAATGAAAGAGAAATTAAAAGATGAGTAATATACCATAAGACCCAGAATTTCCCCTATGATTGTACCCACAAGAATTGAAAATAGGTGTTTAAGCAAATACTTGTGCTATACCTAGATGTTCATAGAAGCACTACTCACAAAAGCCAAAAGGTGAAAACAGCCAAATGTTCATCACTGATGAATGGATAAAGTTGATACATCCATGTAAAGGAATATTATTCAAACATAAAAAGGAATAAAATTCTGATACTTGCTACAACATGAATGAACCTTGAAAACATTAATGCTGACTGATTGAAGCCAGACACGAAGGTCACATATTGTTTGGTTCCAGTTATATGCAAATCTGGCATAGACAAATTCATAGCTTTAGAAAGCAGTTTGGTGGTTTCCAGGGAGGGATTAAATGGGGACTGGCTAGAACTGGATAAAGGTAGGCAACACTGTGACTATGTAAATGCCCCTAAACTGTACCCTTTTAATAGTTAATGGCTAATTTTACATTACATGAATTTTACCTCAACTTTAAATAGGTTAATTATTGCAGAGTGTAGATAGTAGGAATGGAGAAATCATCACCAAAGAAGACAATATTGAAGACGGTGGGAAAACCAGGTGGAATTATCACATCCTGATAGAATTAGGAAGGGCTTACAGAAAGTAGGAAATTTACTGGCAAAATCCTAGAGTTTGAAGAATGGAGTTTTGCTGCTGAAATGGTAAATCATGTTTTCTACTTCTTGAGTGTGGTGAATCGTAACTCCCACATTCAGTAAGATATGCTTACCCTAAAGGTATATTGTTCTCTTGCTCAGTTTTTAAAAGAGTTGTACCTCTTTTCCAGATCTGTGCGTTTCAGATGGTACCAGGGGTTTTACCCTGCTGGCTCTCAGCCAGTCACCTGGGCCATTGATAACGTGTACATTGGTCCCCAATGTGAAGAGATGTGTAATGGACATGGAAGCTGCATCAATGGAACCAGGTGTATATGCGATCCCGGCTACTCAGGTCCAACCTGTAAAATAAGCACCAAAAAATCCCGATTTTCTCAAGGATGACTTTGAAGGTAATCTTCTCTCAAAAATTATGCATAGCTTTGTGAAAGAATTAATATGTAATCATAATTTATGATAGAGAATTAGTTAGTAAGGTCTACTCTAATATTTCATTATTATCATTACAACTGGAAATACCCAAGAGTTCATTTAGTTCTAAAATTTTATAGGGTTCCTTTTCTGGAACAGTGGTCAGTGAGAGAAAACAAAACCTTAACTGAGAAAAAAATTGAGGCTATTTCAACATTTTTATACCACATGCAGTTTCTAATTAGTGATAATTTTAGGAAATGTCTCCAAAACGTTCTTCTTCTTGGATGGAAGAAACAAGTTTTCAGAAATCTAAGTTTCTGTCATTGCTTTTATGCCAACTCATTAGGGAACTACTCATCACTTTCTGTTCTTTAGTTTTATGCCTAGAATCCAGCATCATTATATGTGAAGATAATGTTACAACATAGAAAAATGCACAGTGCAATGATTGGAACAAAGCATTTAAATTGTAGATGCACTCTGATCAAACTACTGATAAACACCTGTTCACCAGAAAGTCATATATAATAGCTGTATTAATGATACTGACAGATTTTTGTTTCCCCATGGTGTACTTATGGTTTTATATTATGCTTTAAAACTATCTATGTATGAACATACACTGGAACATTACTTTGCCATAAAAAGGTGTGAAATACTGATACATGCTGCAGCATGGATGAACCTTGAAAATATTATGCTAAAAGAAAGAAGTCAGACACAAAGTCCGCATGTTATGTATTTCATTTATATGAAATATCTAAAATAGGCAAATCTATAGAGATAGAAAACAGATTAGTGGTTTCCAGGGAATGGATGGGGTAGGGAGGGGTTGGCTGCTTAATTGGTACAGCATTTCTTTTTGGGGTAGTGCAAAACTTTTTGGGGTAATGGCTGTACAACATCATGAATGTAATCAATGTGACTGAATTGTTCACTAAATCTTAGTATCTGAATAGATTTGAGAGCTCACTTTGAAAGAATAGGAACTATCAGTTACAATAAAACTTCTGCTAAAAATATGAGAGTATCCTGCCTGATACTGTCTTCACATTAGAAAGGACACTGTGAAGAAACTAGTGGAAAAGCATACACCCTTCCCTACTTTTGGCCTGAGTTGATCTCTGACTGTGTGGAGGAGCAAAATGGAGAGGCCCATAGATATTTCAAAAATGACCTCCTTCTGTCAGGTGGACCCTTAGAGTATAATAGTCAAGGCTAAACAATTCAAGCAAGCTAATGTGTTGAAGTGGCCTCATATCCTAAAATATACTTTAATACCTATGACTTTATATTTTAAAACTACATAATACATTTACCATATTCTTTTGAAAATGTAGTACGACTACACTTGGGCACAGATAAACCACATTTTCCACTTTTCTCAGGTCAACTAGAATCTGATAGATTCTTATTAATGAGTGGTGGAAAGCCATCTAGGAAGTGTGGAATCCTTTCCAGTGGAAACAACCTTTTTTTCAATGAAGATGGCTTACGCATGTTGATGACACGAGACCTGGATTTGTCACATGCTAGGTAACACTGGAAACCCATATTGCAATATATAGTAGTAGACATATTCAAGTCAGAAAAAAAGCAGAGAGGTCTGAGGGATACAGCCTTCCCATAGATGTGCTTGGCATCTCTGGTCAAAGACCCGTGAAGACACAATGCACAAATTTGCTTGATAATTCCATCAGAAATGAAACATATCTAAGCAGTCAAATGCTAGTATCTGTTACTTCATCAGACTGAGATTGGGAAATAACAATATTTGATTTACTTTAACCTCAAAGAAATAATATGGCATCATCATTATTCACCTTCCACCCAACACTTTTCACTAGTACTTGGATTATGTGGAAATTATGTACATTTATTTCACCATCCTTAGTAAAAAGCTTAGTTGAAATGCAATCTATTCATTGCACCTCAGGCTATATTTTATCCTCAAGATAAAATAATTAATTTCATCTCCATTAGCAATTTTAGTTAAGAACATTGGAAGTGTAGCCTTGTTCTTCTTTACTTACTTAAAGCTTATCATTAATAGAAGAAGGAATTGCATTGTAAAACTTCATAGATGCATATCCTCTAAAAGCATCTTTCCAAAGACTCACTCACATGTTCTAAGACGTCATTTTCTAAATTGAGCACAGTCACTCAGAAACAAACATTTTAAACTGGCTCAGAGGATTATGTCCTGTCAAGATGTGTATCTCTTGATCGTTTGATGAGCCAAAAACTTAACAAGGAAAATATAAAAAGCAATTTAGCATGTATAAAATGGAGCCCTGACCTATTTTTTCAAGTGAATAAAGAAATCATGTTTTTATTTTTTGAAATATTTCACACTATTTTCTAATACATCTTAATGTATTTATTCTTTCTCCTAAATCATTTATTGATTATAAATTGTATCACACTTCATAGAAAATACAGTTCTATCTATGAGATAAGTTTACACTTATAAAAAGAAACATTTTATTTATTTCATCCTTTAATACACATCATTTAATTTAATATTCTTTATTTCCGATTTGCACTAGCACCTGATTTCTCTAATTTAGAAATTAAGTTTTTCCAAATTAGTAATTCCAACATGATTTTTCTTAACTACCAGTAATTTGGTAGTTATAGTATCACTAAATTAATATAAGCATTTTCCCAAAGTAGATAATATGACAAAAGTTTTCTTTGTAAATAATTTTGTTCCTATAAGTGTAACATCACTGTTTACAATTACCATGTATGTTTTCATTAATCCAATGTTAAAAGCTCCATTATATAGCTCAACTCAGTTACATGCTGTGTAGGATTTGCATATATTGACCTGAAAAATGCTCCATGTAAGATCCTAATTTTTTCAGCGCCATGAGATAAAGAGGGTAAATCATGAATAATGAATGGCTTTTTGTATGATACCAATAACATTGCTATAAGTCCCAGTATATTTTTGATGTTTGGTATACATTCGTTATTGGATATGTATGGTTGGTTACTCATAATTTTTCTACATTACCATTTAGTATAGTGGCCAGACCAGGTACCAACAGCTTGCCTGCCAAAGATAACACTTGAGCTAGTTTTCATTGGCACCCCAGCTGCTTGCTGCTGTTCTGTCCACTTCCCTGCCAGCTAGGAAAGCTGCCACTGGCTGGCCGCCACAGTTCTTGGTGGCAAGTATCATCCATCCCCAGACCTAGCAACAGTCAGAGGCTGGCACAGCCCACAACCAACAACAACCCACACTTATGCTTCCCTGCCCCTGGCACAAAAGATAGAAAAAGGCCCAGGCTTAACACACCTCTTCCCAAAGATGTCTGCCTTTTATAAGAGGTACTACAACTGCTGAATGTAAATGAATATGTCTCCCAAAAGCAATCATGTGAGATCTGTAGAACTACTGGTGAACTCCAGGAATGGATGATTTTACTGATCATGTGGCATGATCCACAATAATTAAGTTCTTTTAGTTTCAAATACTAAGGGCTAGGGTCCAATTTGTCTTAAGTAGATGACAGCACACACTCTCAAACTTGAACAGCTTTTGAATTCCTCCCATCATCTTAAGAAGTAGCCTAGGGTTGCAACGGATGCACACTTCCCTCAGACTCTCTCTGAGGAGAGATTAGCTCTCTTTTACTTAAAAAAAGGAAAATCAAGCTTTGAAGTGATTGCTTTGGACATTCATTAAATCATCATATTCATTAAAATTATTCATTTCCTCATATTACCCTGGGAGCTTGTCTTGTGTTAACAATGTGGATTTCTTGTTGAAGTCTACAGTAATGTTTACTAATGTCAGATTCGTGCAGTTCTTCATGAGACTGGGATGTGGTAAAGGTGTTCCAGACCCCAGGAGCCAGCCTGTGCTTCTACAGTATTCTCTCAATGGTGGCCTCTCCTGGAGTCTTCTTCAAGAGTTCCTTTTCAGCAACTCCAGCAATGTGGGCAGGTACATTGCCCTGGAGATACCCTTGAAAGCCCGTTCCGTTTCTACTCGCCTGCGCTGGTGGCAGCCATCTGAAAATGGGCACTTCTACAGCCCTTGGGTTATCGACCAGGTCAGTCTCTTCAGTATTAACTAATTTTACTTTTGTCACTGGATCTGAATTTGGCCTTATGAAGCATTTAGTACAAACTCCTTGCTCAGTAGGGGAAGCCCAGGACAAATAGTTTAGTGACCTGCCTAAGGGCACACAGCTAGATTAGATATGGCTTTTAGCTTCTTTTCTCTCTAGTCCCTCAATTGCCTACGCCTATAAAAATAAGTGATCCAACAGAAGGCCTAGGTCCTGCTCATAGAAGATGCTGCCATATGGCTAGAGGGACTTTATCAAGCATGATACAAGGTTATAATTCTCTGAAAAGGAAAATGTGCAAATTAGCATTTGTGCCACATCCAGTTGTTCTCAAATCCTCTTTCCTAGCCTTTGAACAAAGAAAATAAATAAATAAATCTCCCCAACATCTTTATGGACTGCTCTAAAGGATCTGCATACATAATAAAAAATGTGTATCAAATGGAACTCAAAGAACCTGTTAACAAATGGTAGAGCCCATGCAAAGAACTGGAACTGAAATGCCTCAGGGCACGGCTGTCCTTAAATAGAAATTTTACATGGAAAATAATCACATGCAAGCCAAATATTGCTTTCCCAGCTTGGAGACATGTAGTTTCCAAAGGCACAATTTGGCTTGTGAAAGCTGTGAATGGTTTTGTCAATCCTTTGATTTGTTTTCTGTAGCTTCTTGCCAGATCGGCAAGCAGACCACATAAACAAGAGCATTCTGGAAGCCCCTAACATTATGCTGGCTGTAGAGTGCCAGTTCTGAGCAGACTGACAGATAAAAAACAAACAAAAAGAGGACTGAACATCCCTGTACCTTAAAATCAAACTGAGAATTTGGGGTTTTTATTTTTTCTTTATGCATTTCAGATACTTATTGGAGGAAATATTTCTGGTAATGCAGTCTTGGAAGATGATTTTACAACTCTGGATAGTAGAAAGTGGCTGCTTCACCCAGGAGGCAAGATGCCAGCTGTGTGTGGCTCTACTGGAGATGCCCTGGTCTTCATTGAGAAGGCCAGCACTCGTTATGTGGTCACCAACAGACATTGCTGTGAATGAGGACTCTTTCCTACAGATTGATTTTGCTGCCTCCTGCTCAGTCTCAGACTCTTGCTATGGTAAGTATTTAATGTCCAGAAGTGACACACACGTGTGCATTGGCCCTGGTAGCTGTCTCTGTTGTAAGACTGTTCAGAACCTCTGCTAAGTCCTTAATAGATACACAAGTACACTTTGAGTTCATGAAATATCCTTGAAAATATTGTGTAAATTGAGTATATTCTTAAAGATATTGTTGGTGAATTGAGTTTTTACAAAATTATTTTTGAAAGCATAAAATGTGAACTTATTTTTAAAGCACATGTATATGAATACTTTATGCAGCAAATAATAACTTACATAATAATTTGCAAATTCAGATTTTTGTAGTATCAGACTTGCAGAATAAAGGATACACTTTGTTGGTTTTCTTTTTTTTATTGTTTTATTATTCATTGTGCATACAATGCTTGGGTCATTTCTCCTCCCTACCCCACCACCTTCGTTTTTTTCCATTCAAGGACTCTTGTCATATAGAGAATGCTAGAGATGAAGAATATGATTTACACATATGCTTATATATTCATGGATTTTAAATCACAGAGCCTTGGATTAGTTCACTTACTGTCTCCTTTCCATATCCTGAAGAATCATGAATTTTTATTTTGCCCTATATTTTTTGCCATTGTGGATCATAACATACTTCATTGTTATCAGCTTACAGCTTCTAGTTTATATGTGTGTACTCATACACACATATCACACACACACACACTTCAGGAGAATTAAAAACTGACACCATTGCATATTTTGACCTTTGACCTGAATTTACAAGCCTATCAGGATTTTTGGGGTCTCCCAGTCTTTCTCTACCCTACATCACTCTTCATCTAAGAATTCCAAACTAGAATGTTCACAGAGCTTTGTTTTGTTTTAGATTCTGGGAGGCTGAAATTTGAGCAGTTTGATTACTTCCAAGTTTCTACAGATCCAGACTTTTTATATTTCCATTATTTTGAACTTAATAGACATATTAGTACTGAAATAGTACTCTTTCTACCTCAGACACAAATCAGTTAGTCAGAACTAGACTAGTCAATGAGGGTAGAACTTGGAAATAAAAAAGAAAGATGAGCAAGTAGAAGGTACATATGCTGTCTTTAATAGGTGCATGTGTTTGAAGGAATCCCTCAAAAAGTTAGAGTCTAGTTAATGACTAAATCAAGTGTTCTGTGGAGTGGTACCAGCACAAAACATAATGAGAACTCAAAGGATGGAGAGATGATGAATAGTTGGCCAATCCAAGGAGTTAAAGAGCATTTCTCAAAGGAGCTAAATATCAAGTAGACCTTGATGGTTGGAGTGGATTTGAAGGGTAAAATGTCACTGGGCTGGCAGCATAGGTAAAGCAGCAGTCCATGGGAAAGCTGCAGAAGATCAAAGAATACTGATCTTAAAAGCAGAAAGATACTTTAGTCCTTAGGTATCTAGTTCTTCATTAATGTAGGAAGCCAACTAGAATGTAGGAAGGAAAATATCCCATGGTCCCCCTACAACAGCAGCAGACTTAAATTCTGCCCTCATAGCTCACTCATATGTGATTCCTACCACAGGCAGTATAACCTCCTGAGAGAGGTTGAAATGAGTAAAAACATGGAAGAGGAAAGTGACCAAGTGGGATTGGCAGCGAATTACGAAGGACCTTAAAGGGTAGGCACAGGAATTTGTGCCTGACAATGTAGTGAATAGGAGACCACAGGGGCAGAAGGGTGTCATGATGTGTCTTGGGGAGATTAGCTCAGAGCTGGTGAAGGTAAATAGAAGAATCCTAGTAAATAACCATGATAGTAATCCCTGCAGGAGGAGGTACTGACTACACTGTGTGGCATGAAGAGATATGGAATTAATAAAGTTCATACAAGAGTACACAAACTAATAGTAGAGAAGCAGCAGGTCTCAGGGCAAGGTAACAGGTTGAACATAGAGGTAAAAGAGATTCTAAAATAACTTCTAAACTTTGAACCCAGAAAACTAGTGTAAAAATGTTACCATCGACAAAATTTGGTGGTTAGGAAAAGATGTTTGTTGATGAGGAAAAATGATGTGTTTTTCTTAGTTCAGGTGAGGAGTTCTAGATGAAGACATCCTCCAGGTGGAAGCTCTGTCTAGGCTATTCCTTATACATGCCCAGTGCCTGGGACATTGCTAAGCTCAGCAAACGCTGGTTAATGAGGTAATCATTGGAGCCTTAATAGTATACATATAGAATAGGAGGCCAAAAACAGAGCCTGGAAGAAAGCCCAAAGCTGGGCTAGTTAGCAAAGGAGTCAGAGTACAAGCAACACAAGAGACTTAGAATAATGTCCCCCAAGTAAAAGAAAGTTTCAAGACTCAGGGAACAATCAGTAATTCTCAGGACTGTAAAGACAATGAAGACTAAGATCAAGCCATTTTCCTTTCCTAGAAAGCTTAGGGTACAGCATGGTCTCCTGCTGGCCACACAGGAGAACCATTGTGAAGCTTCAAAGCCACCCCTTGGCCAGGCCCCAGAAGAGTGCAGGCAGAATCTCTGGTCCTGAGACCCAGGCATAAGTACTTTCTAAAGGTACCCAGGTGATTTCAGTGTTCAGCCAAGACTGAAAACCACAGCCTTAGAGAAAGCAATTTCAGAAGGGAGGTCAGGGCCAAAGCAGTTTATAAGGCGTTAAGATGAAAAGTGAATAGGGGGAGAGTAATATAAGGCCAGAGGTATAGGTTGAACAACTCCAAAGAAGAAAAAAAGAAAGAAGTGTCTTTCCAGAAGACCTACAACCTGACTACATGCATTGGCACAAAGTTCATGACCTTTAGCTATCTTTTTGTACCTATCCCGGTATATTCCATCAGACGGTAGAGCAAGAAGCAAGAGAGATTTTGTAATTTCTAAGAAATATCACCTATTATACCAGAAGCAAAATTGACATTATTAGTCAGAATTTCTATACGATGGTCAAATTTGAGGGCTGCTCTGTTTTTTAACTATTTTAATAGTGATTATTGAAATATATTTGTTTCAGTATATATTACAACTGTACATACATTTATAACTATTGCATTAAAATGTATACTAAAATATTTACATAACATTTTTTATTACTTTAAATTATAAAGACTATAAGATATAGCTGTTTATATGCTGTAGCTGCATGTGAAGCAATAGTGTTGCTGTGATTTTTCTGGAAGTTTCTCAGAATAAGGAGTGATTCAGGAAAATTTACTTTGTTTCACTTGATTGTATCTCCTTAAAAGAAAAATTTCAATATGAAAATTTTAAAATAATAAATAGTAGTTTACAGAGGGAAAAATAAAACTGGGAAACATTTCAAAGTAGGAAACATAAATATAGGGGAAAATCAAATTGACATTAAAATTAAAACATACAGAAACATGACAGGTAGCTGTGGTTATGTCCATTCCGTAATACTACTTCCTGTTTCAGCTATTGAATTGGAATACTCAGTGGATCTTGGATTGTCATGGCACCCGTTGGTGAGGGACTGTCTGCCTACCAATGTTGAATGCAGTCGCTATCACCTACAGCGGATCCTGGTGTCAGATACTTTCAACAAGTGGACCAGAATCACTCTGCCTCTTCCTCCTTATACCAGGTATGATGCTTCTGCATGTAATGAACCCAAATGTAATCAAATGTGTCATGTCAGACTTTAGCACAGCAAGTTTAAATAAGATTCATGAGATTTTATTACTTATCCATGGTGTTGCCAAAAGGCTGTCTTAACAAGAAAAGTGGGTACAAGCTTTTGTGGTGACATTAGTCTGTGTTTTCCCAAAATCCATGGCTTTACTGACATTTGACTCTAACATTTTTAAAGAATGGTCTGTATAAGAAAACAGTGGCTGATGTGAGTCAATGCCCTGTATAGCTATCCTTATCTCAACCAGCAAAAACCCTTGTCCCTTCCTATTATTGCTTATACTCTCTCTACAACAAAATTAGAAATAAGGGCAAAATAGTTTCTGCTGGGTATTGAGTGGGGGAAGGGAGGGGGCGGAGTGGGTGGTAAGGGAGGGGGTGGGGGCAGGGGGGAGAAATGAACCAAGGCTTGTATGCACATATGAATAATAAAAGAAAAATGAAAAAAAAAAAAAGAAAACAGTGGCTGCATTACCTAGCTTCTCCAACTTACTTTTGAGATGCCCAAGAACAAGTCATTTAAAAAGGTTTTTTGGATACAAAATAGATTTAAATGGAGTCTATTTTCTTCTAGTCATGCTGCTATGAATATAGTAGTGAGTGATTTAATATAAATGAATGTAGCAAATAAATGTATATTAACATTCACATCTGCTTTTGAAATTTTATTTTGAACAATATCTTAAGAATTATCACTTGTAACATTCTCTTCTGTGAAAGACAGTTGTAAATAATCCACTGTGTCTATGGGAAATGATCATGGCTTAAGAGAATAGCTTGGCAAATGCTGGTAAAGAAGGTGAATCTAAATGAGCTGTGCATTTATTCTCCTGTCTGAGTAAAGCAGAGGATTAACTTTTCTAGTGGATTAGTAGTATAACTCACCTTCTAAAGTAGGTACACAGCATAGGAAAACTTTGAACTCTTGATAGAAACTCCTGTTCCTTCTGGGGAAGTTGTGATCAGTTACTTCTATTAACAAAGAAGCAAAGCAACCAAAGCAGTGTGTGAAACAAGAGTTATAGTTTGGGCTCATTATTGTCCTGTCGCCTCCCCACAAATAAAGAATGAATAAATCTTCCTAGCAAGTGACCGTAAAACCCAGCCATTCATCTAGGACATTAATTTTCTTGGTATTTTCATAAATGGGATGGTTTTGGTTACTAACAGCCTGAGGCTGCTTTACAATTGCTGGCTCAGAGGTACAAGACTATATTAACTGTCAGCAGGGTTGCCAAGTTTAAATGAGATACGTGAGATTTTGTTGCTCGCTAAAGGTATTGCCGTGCATAAATTATTAAGGTGATCTTAATAAGTAAAATAGAAAAGAAATCCATTAAGGCAGCAGTCTTTTAAGTCTTTATGAATTCTATAAATTATTACCCAGCTACTTCTCAGAATTTTGCAAATAAGCGACATTCTAAGATTTAATCCAGGTAGTCATTATACCCTTGAGTCTTTTACTCAAGAAAAGTAATTATTCCTCATATTTAATCTATCTTTTAATTGTCTCTTGCACATACCCACAAGAATTTTGATCCCTTCAAATGATATTTGAGATTCTGATGGGCATCCCATTTCCTCCTGTTACCATATTGAAAATAAGCGGTGTGTTTACTATATTACTCTCAAGGCTTATGTTGTACAATGGTCTTAAAGGTGACACTGCCTTATAACAAAGCCTTTTGGGTAATTCAGAAAGAAATGTGCATAGATGGGGCCCAACCTAGACCACTTCTTGTCATACTTTGCCATATACCAAAGATCATGGGCCCAATATGCCAGCTCCAGAGCACTTTGTCCCAAACGTACACTAATGTAGCCATACTTTAACTACTGTTAATATCAGATCTCTTTAAATGTGATGTTTCCTTGTTTTAAATTAAACTTACTAGGGCTGGGGCTGCAAAAGGTCTGGGTTTGATCCTAGCAGCAGAAAGCTAAGAAGTTAAACTTACTGCCTCAGTGTCTGGAAATGTTAATGTGTATATGGCCCATTAGGCCAGAATTGGGGATTTCAGTTTGTAGCTTTTGCTGTGAATAAACTTGATGCTGACAATTTAATATGAGTGTGAAGTAGGGGGTTAGGAATGAATGTGACCGTGACCGTGTGACAATTTCAGCTTTGTGAACTTACTCATCATATGGCCATAAAGGCTAGGCTACCAGCATTGTTGGCACAGTGATGATGACAGTAAACTGAAGTTCATTTGTCCACATATTGGCATAAAACTATTAACCAGACTGAAATGACCAGTAGCCATCCATAGCATTTATTCATTCATTTAGTCAATCATTAAGAACACTTTTGAACTGTTTAATTATGTATTAGGTCTCAGTGGAAGCTGAACTTATCCCTGCTTCAAGGGGTTTTTAGTTCAGTGGGAGAGAGAAGTATTGACCAGAAATCACCAGCAATTGCAGAAGTAAATATAAAAAATTCAACTATGAAAGTGATGGAGAAAAGGTAGATGATACTACTAGGATAGAATATAATAAAGAGATTTGACTTGATCAAAAATCAGGGGAATGCTTTCTTGAGAAATGGTAAACGTTAGATAACATATGAAGGATGAACAATAGTTAACAATGTAGAACAGATTCCTGCTGAATTCATCAGACCTTAAAAGAAGAAACTGATACAACCCTCCTAAACTCTCTCACTGCCAATAGGAAAGGGAAGGAAAGACTAGCCAAACACATTTTACTGAAACCCACTATTACAACTTATCCCAAAACCAGGCAAAGACACCTCCAAAAAGGAGATATCCATAATTAAGGCCAATTCTCCTTAATGAAGCCTTGATGCAAAATCCTCACAAAATAATGGGCAACCGAATTCAGACAACACAAGTAATAGATAATCAAAAAGATTATCCACCACGACCAGGTAGGCTTCATCTCCCAGGTGATAGCAGGGGTGGTTCAACATACAAAATTCAATAAACGTAATAAAAACCACATAACAGAAGCAAGACAAAAACGCACTTGATTCAGCTGCAATAGACGCAGAAAGCCTTTTGATAAGATTCAACATATTTCAATTGATAAAAGCTCTAAGAAAACTAGGCCATATAGAAGGAAAGTTCCCTCAACATTATAAAAGTTTCTATATATGAAAACCTACAGCCAGCAAAATACTTAAACGGAGAAAAATTAAAACCGTTCCCTTCTAAAATTCAGGAACCGAGACAAGGATTGCCAACCCACTATCTCCACTCCTATTCAACATAGTACAGAGAGAATCTAGCCAGAGCAATTAGGCAAGAAGAAGAATAAAAGGAATACAAATAGGTAAAGAACTGTCAAATAATCTATTTGCACGACATGATCCTAATACCTTAAAGACCCAAAAAACTCTACTCAGAAGCTTCTAGACATCATCAATAGCTATAGCAAGTAGCAGGATATAAATCAACATAGAAAAATCATTAGCATTTCTATACACTAACAATGAGCAAACGGAAAAAGAATGTATGAAAAACAATTCCATTTAACAATAGCCTCAAAAAAAATCAAATACCTAGGTGTAAACCTAACAAAAGATGTGAAAGACCTCTACAAGGAAAACTATACACTTCTGAAGAAAGAGATTGAGGAAGACTATAGAAAGTGGAGAGATCTCCATGCTCATGGATTGGTAGAATCACATAGTAAAAATGTCGATACTCCCAAAGTAATCTACATGTTTAATGCAATTCCCATCAAAATTCCAATGACATTCATTAAAGAGATTGAAAATCTACTGTGAAATTTATATGAAACACAAGAGGCCACGAATAGCCAAGGCAATACTCAGTCAAAAGACAATGCAGGAGGTATCACAATACCTGACTTCAAATATTACAAAGCAATAACAATAAAAACAGCATGGTACTGGCACAAAAACAGACATGAAGACCAGTGGAACAGAATAGAGGATCCAGATATGAAGCCACACAACTATAGCAACTTATCTTTGACAAAGGAGCTAAAAATATACGATGGAGAAATAGCAGCCTCTTCAACAAAAACTGCTGGGAAAACTGGTTAGCAGTCTGCAAAAAACTGAAACTAGATCCATGTATATCACCCTATACCAAGATTAACTCAAAATGGATCAAGGATCTTAATATCAGACCCCAAACTCTTAAGTTGATACAAGAAAGAGTAGGAAATACTCTGGAGTTAGTAGGTATAGGTAAGAACTTTCTCAATGAAACCCCAGCAGCACAGCAACTAAGAGATAGCATAGATAAATGGGACCTCATAAAACTAAAAAGCTTCTGTTCATCAAAAGAAATGGTCTCTAAACTGAAGAGAACACCCACAGAGTGGGAGAAAATATTTGCCAATATACATCAGACAAAGGACTGATAACCAGAATATACAGGGAACTTAAAAAACTAAATTCTCCCAAAACTAATGAACCAATAAAGAAATGGGCATGTGAACTAAACAGATCTTTCTCAAAAGAAGAAATTCAAATGGCCAGAAAACACATGAAAAAATGCTCACCATCTCTAGCAATAAAGGAAATGCAAATTAAAACCACACTAAGATTCCACCTCACCCCTGTTAGAATAGCCATCATCAGCAACACCACCAACAACAGGTGTTGGCGAGGATGCGGGGAAAAAGGAACCCTTACACTGTTGGTGGGAATGTAGACTAGTACAACCACTCTGGAAAAAATTTGGAGGCTACTTAAAAAGCTGGACATCGATCTACCATTTGATCCAGCAATACCACTCTTGGGGATATACCCAAAAGACTGTTACTCCAGAGGCACCTGCACATCCATGTTTATTGCGGCACTATTCACAATAGCCAAGTTATGGAAACAGCCAAGATGTCCCAGCACTGACGAATGGATTAAGAAAATGTGGTCTCTATACACAATGGAATTTTATGCAGCCATGAAGAAAGAAAATGTTATCATTCGCTGGTAAATGGATGGAATTGGAGAACATC